GTGCACTGCCAACGAGCCCAGCGGGTATCACTTACACGCATAGAGGCTTTCAGTAGACCTGCACATACAAAAGGTTTATCTGAGCGGGCTGCCAACGTACTGGCCAGGGTGAACAGGGATTCCACCAACGCTGTCTACATTTCTAGGTTGCGAGAATACACTGATTGGTGTAGCGGAAGGGAGATTGATCCATACCATCCCTCTATTGGCCAGGTAGCAGACTCTTTCGTCTACCTGTTTGACGAAGTGGGTTTGTTCTACGCAGCGATCTACAGGTCGGCCTTGTCCCCCACCATTGAGAACGTTTCGAGAACAAGACTAGCCAATTGTCCTATTATTAGGAGACTATTTACTGGTTTCCAGATGCCGAGACCCCGTACAAGAGAACCGCCCAACTGGGATTTGTCAGTTGTGTTGTCCACTCTAAGCAGACCGCCCTTCGCCTCTCCGATCAGCACCGCTCACATTTTTGATGTGGAAAATAGTCTTCCTACTGGCCCTCGCCTCAGGTAGGCATCGGCCAGAGCTGGGGGCATTGTCCTTCTCAGACGATGTACCGCCGTTATGGACAATCAAGTTGTGCTAAAGACACAAATCGAGTTCCTTATCAAGAACCAAATCCTCGGACACGATCCTCACCCAATCGTCATCCCCCAGCTGTCAAATTTTGTCAGCCCGGAGGGTCAGGAGGAATTGCTTCTCTGCCCGGATCCAGCACGGAATTGCTACCAAAACAGTACTAAGGATTCAGGGGTGCCAGGCACATGTCTTTGTGTTACGACCCAGGCAGACAGGATAGGCCGGCCTCCCCAATTTCCATCACCAGATGGATTACTGCAACTGTATTAGAGGTATATAATACTTTAACTTCCTCTACACAGAGCTTGCAGAGACACCAAGTACGAACGCATAAGGTCTGTGCGATTGCTACCTCATTAGTGCTAGCGTCAGGCACCACCCTCGAGCACACACTGAGGGCAGGCTTCTGGAGAATGCAGAACGTCTTTATCAACTATTACCTAAGAGTCACCCAATCCATTGAGGAGGGTCTCTTTAGGTTGGGTTCCGTCGTAGCGGGTCAGACTTGGTTTGCTTACCCAGCCCGAATGATCTCAAGGGTCCCTGCCCATAGGCGATAAGTCAGTCTCTGCATTTTTGGTGGAAAGATTTCTCTACCATCAGCGCTCCCTGGAAGCTCCAAGGTCCCGCTTTCCGGCCTATGCTCTCATGCAGAACTGTCTCGGTCTTTACTTCGAAAGCACACTACCCCAGGAATTGGGTTGGGGTCTAGCTTTCTCAGGCATACCGAACCCTGTCACTGTAGCAGCTTTTTTGGCTTCTTGCTCTGGGACAGCACAGGCAAGATAAGACACCACCCTTTTTGGGTTTTAACTAAGATCTTGAGTGATTATTGTAGAGTATTTAATCCCAGATTGGGAAAAAACTTTCATCATTTTTCTGTTTGCTCGGAAAACTCGCCAACTTTCGGCATCTGACTCTGCCTACAGTTAAAAATAGTCATTTTGACTGACCGGAGTCTATGATGGGTAATTGAACGTAGTGAATTTAGGCAGAGGGTTCTCCGAACTCGCCTATCCACATAGTTCATACCCACCATAGACTCCGGGTCCCTCCAAACCACCCAACTCTTTCCGTAGCGTTGGTCTAAGTCATCGATGCGGAGAGAAAGGAACCAGAGTGGACATCCAGCCATAATGGCGCCGCCATATGGACTCGGTCACGTGGTTCGTGACGCAAGGGAAAAGAATATTGGGGTCATGGGGCTTCCCCTGACCTAGATTCTATCTCTCCGTCATTGGCAGAATCGCTGATTAATGCCTACAGTTCAAAATAGTCATTTGGATTGACTGGAGTCTATGATGAGTGTGAACTATGTGAATAGGTGGGTTCGGAGAACCCTCTGCCTAATTTCATTACGAGGTACTGTAAAATGCTATATTTTCGCTTTGAATTTATTCTCGCTATTTTCACTGCAGGAATGAGTCAGTGAAAATAAAATCTAGCGAATATACCATTATTCCTATATTTTACATTCAAATATCAAAAATCAGTGAAAATAAATCCCATACAAAATACCCAAAATGTCTTTTCAGCGAAAATTAATTCCAGCTAAAATAAAGTATTCTACAGTAAATGGCCAAGGGGGATGCGCTTGATGACGCTATTCGGCAGAGGCGACGGGTCGCCCCCGAAAAATGTTGGGGCGCCCCATCTTTAATACAGCTGAAACCCTTTGTGTCAGCAAAATGTGCCCCTCAAAATGCAGGAAATAGCTTTTCAGCGGGTCTAGATTTCAAATATTACTATTGAGTTGCCATTGTTTGATTCCAGAACGGAAAAGATATCGACGCGCAGTTTCGTTGTAACATAAAAGTTGAAATCGCGTAATATTTACCAAATTTTGTATTTTGTAATAAAATGTATGAAGATAAATTTACACACATCAAATTTGTTTTAAAATGTTACACCTTAAAGACAGTGGCACTAAATGTTTTTGTTTTTTTAGAAGAGGCGATTTGGTTAAAATTCACAAAATATGGCATTTTCAAAGACTGGGATATAGAGTATACAGTAATACAAATGTCATACGCCAACATAATACAATACTCTTACCCTACCACAAAATCCAAGTAGGGGAATGTTGTTATTATAGTTATGTTGAAGGCTTATTATATGCTCTGATATGACGCCCATTGGTTCTTCTCGTCAGTGGTTATGATGTAATTGTAATTTAGAGCGAGGGAGTCGTCACCTGCGCATGCGTCAGATGGCCGTAGCGTGTCATCGTTTACAAACAAGCGTCTGCCTTCGCGTTTTAGTGTGTGTTGTTATCGTCGCTTGGGAATCAATTACAACGTGTCACATTTCATGTGCTTAAAAGGCGGTGGTCGTCGTGTAGCGCGTGTTAGGAGTTCATGTAAATAGAGGGGGGGCAAGGGTTATTTTCGTTCAACGTAATTGCAATATTTTTTTGTTCGTACAACGTAAATTGACAACAATAAATTCCGTAATTCTGTAATCACAGGCTAGACGTACAACGTAATCAATCAAATATTTTTTTCGTACACTGTAAAAATGTGTCATTTTTTTCGGTACGTACAAGAATTTTCTAGGTTTTCTTTATTAATCTTTTTTCTTTTTTTCGTAAAATGTAAAATAACCTTTGTTTTCTCTGTAAACTGTAAACATTCAATTTTCACTGTAAACTGTAAAAACGTCTTTTTTCCCTTGTAAATTGTAAAAAGCCCTTTTTATTTCCCGTAAAATTGTACCAGCTACCCCCCTTGCTCCCCCTCTAAATAAGCAATGTAATGTATTTTATACGCGTTATATACGTCGCTATGAGTCCCATATCGAACAGGACGCGGCACGACGACCACAATTGATAATTCAAAGGTTTGTACATACATGTAACACTGCAGTAAATAACATTTGTAAATATTATTGCTACGCAAGGAAAATGTTGCTGCTTTTTTCTGAACGTGATGGGTGCTTCGTGAATATTGGTATAAGCACCAAGTTCAAGTCTGGAACTAAGCTTACCCTTCGTAAACTTATGTATGTTGGCACGCCCTCTACGCCAGAAGTCCCGTTACTCGTTCACGATAACAGTGACAATAAGCGTAATACATGTATTCGCAATATCAAACATTTCACTGATATCGTAACCGCGATTAATTACAATGAAGAAGATCGTGTGCAGGTTAATTGCGTACTAGTATTGTGTTCCATTCTCACTGATGGCGCACTTTAATTGCTTTGATATCGTCAATGACATAGACCACTTTCCTGAAAGTAGCAAAACTGGGGTACAAAAATACTCCTGCTTTGTCATAGCGGAAAATACAAACATGTCAGTTTGCTGATAGTCGGTAGAAGGGAATTTTATTTTTGTTACGTCAATTGGTACACCCAGAAGCACAATATCACGCGTGCAAGTTAATGTTACACCCCAATTTCGCATGCGCGCGCATCCGAAAACTCCGTATCTTCGACTTTCGGGAAAGTCGTCTATGTGGTGTCGCTGGATGGCGCGCTTTTATCTCAGTCTAACTGACTTTGAGTGTCCAACAACGTCGAGGAGGGGACTCGCTCAAAATAAGTGTGTATCAAATTTAAAAAGTGGATTTTTAGTTCAACCCTGAGCGCATTTGTCAAATGTTAATTTACACACCTTTATGTCCATATGTGTAATCAAAATACATTTGTTTATTCGAACTCCCGTTATTTTAACAGTTGTTCAGGGAAGGTTTACAGTAAACTTAGGCATATTATACTTCCGAATATCGTAATTTAATATGGATTTTGAATTCATCATTTTCAAACCGTACTTCGCCTAAAAACACTGAATACGTCAAACTTAGCGATCGACATTAGAAACTCGATATCAAGGAAGAACGAAATAAATAGCAATTTTTGACGGGTGGTGGCGCTGTCGCTGTTTATGGGAATAGTTGCCTGAACGGTCAGCTTGCTGCTACCCAAATATTTGCAACATGATAATCACGATTTCGTCACAAACAACCAATACTTGAACTTACAGTGAATATTCACAAATAGTGACAAAAACATTAACTAAGCGAAACAGAATATTGTATTTATAAGGCCTAAAACTAGTTGCAAATCCATTTCACAAAACATATAATCATTTCTTAAGTTCAATAATATTTGGAATCATTATATGACAAATAATAAGTAATTAATTACACGGACTATAAACAGTTAAATTAAACAAAGCACTATCATTAATGCAATTTACACGTGTAGTGCTACACGTGTTGTTTTCACTTATTTTCCCATCAAGGGTGAAAACATTCGATATTCAACTGAACTATCGTATACATATTGTGTATGCAATATTTTGGACCTTACACTCACTTTAGTAGTTATCAGTTGTTTGATTTGTATTGATGAGACAAGTGAATCATTAACACATCAAATATCTAGTTCGACTTGCAGTTGGAGAGCATATGGTAACGATGAAGCTACCGGTAATTGTATGCGCAGTTTTAGTGAACACTGTTCACGGTGAATGCCAGTGGTGGTGGTGCGAAGGGTCAGAAGATCCGGCATTACTCGGTACGTTATGACAATTAGTGAGCGTTGTATAAGGTGAAACAATTATCGCAAAATTTATTGGATGAAAGCTGAAGTTTGTCTATTACAACATCTCATTTTCTGTCAAATTCCGAACTACAGTACGACTCTAGACGGAATATTCCAGCAATAACACACACACAAAGGAATTGAATTGAATATACATATATTCTATTTTGTCGCACAGGAAGCTATCAAGCTGATTCTAATGAAGTATCTGTCAGCGGTGTATCATCTGGAGGCTACATGGCCATCCAAATGCACGTGGCCTACTCGGCAAGTATAATGGGTTCTGGTATACTTGCAGCAGGTAAGAATCCCATTGTTTGCCGACCATGGCCATAATATGAATGTATTACGATGGTGGAATCTGAGTTGAAATTATTTTTCCAATTGTGACCAATAAAAACGAAAAATTCTATCATAAGTCAGTTGTAATGGCAGTTGTGTTATTTAATATGAGAGAAGTTGTGATATTCATTTCGTAAAATATGAACACAACCTTTATACTACAATATTGGTTCACGGGACTTTGATAATGAAAACACCCCCTTCGGCAATTCGTAAACAGAGTGTACACTCCCTAAGTCTCTCAGCGAAATTCACTAATTACAAATTCACAAATCATCAGACATATTTTATTTACGCAATACTAAATTGATCAAACGAAGCATCGAACCCAAGTTAAAGAGCGAGGGTCTTCGCGTCACGCATGCGCGACATATGGGTCTCATATAAACAAAGATGGCGACTTTGACTGTTGCGCAGATCAATGAGTACAAACTGAGGCGTTACCAAGCTTGTATTAGGTACTTTTTTTTCAGGTGATTGGAAGTATCGAATGAGTCACCGGCGGTAATTGGTGCAATTTACGCCCAGGTTAATATTTGTGATTTCCATGAGAAAAGTGCATTGGATTGTGGGAAAATCAATATTTATCAACACAAATGTCGCACACTGTATATCCACCATTTTATTTAATAAACTAATTAGAGAATTCAAATTTTCTTGATTTAAAGTTGTGATATAATTGGATAGAGGGTGGAAATAATATTTTGGAAGATACAATTGACGAAATTCAGAATATAATGGGCATACTAAAAGGAAGTGGTATTCGTTTTCAATTTGATTTGTATCACAGACTTTACAAAGCCGCTGGTCTCTCTCAAGAGTTCCCCTGTCAGTTTCGATGCGCAGGCTGAAAAGCAACGAAAAACGTGCTAAAGTTCTTCTGTGGGGGTTTATAGTGACCGAAGTAAGATATTTTTCCCGTTGTAGCGCATTTTTAAATTCGCGATATGTCACGAGTTTCTCAAACGTACATATGTCACTTAGCCAGTTATGCTGCAAGTAACAGTTAAATCTAACAGTAAATGTTTCCATAAACGTGCTTGTATTGTTAAGTTCTTCTCTCTCTTTTTAACAAATTTGCACTGGTTTCAAGGTTAAAGGTCAATTATGACAAAACTGAAGCAATTTGGTTGGGCAGATGGCGCTTCCGTCAAGACAGACCGTTCGGGGTGAAATGGCATATGTTTCCTATCAAAATTGTGGGTGTCTTCTTTTCCTATGATGCTAGAGCAGCATATGAAATGAACATAAATATACCAATAAAGTGCTTAAATAGTGTGTTGCAATGCTGGTCTAGACGTAGTTTGACATTATTGGCAAAATTCAGATTATTAAAACTTTTGTATTCCAAATTACTATTTATT